TAATGAAAAGATGAGGGGGGGGGGGGGGGGGGGGGGGGGGGGGGGGGAGGGTATTAGAGTGTAAGCTCCTCTGTACAGCACTGCGGTATATGTCAGAGCTATATAATGTATAATAATAGTGTGTGACTGTGGGGGGGTGTTAGAGTGTAAGCTCCTCTGTACAGAGACTGATGCGACTGGCTCAGTGTCCTCTGTACAGCACTGCGGTATATGTCAGAGATATATAAATGTATAATAATAATAATAGTGTGTGACTGTGGGGGGACATTAGAGTGTTAGCTCCTCTGGTGCAGAGACTGATGTTATAGGTCAGGTAGCAGAGCAGACCTTGGTGACCTCTGACCTCTGTACAGATATGTGGCCGGAGGCAGAAAGGAAAACTCGCTTCTTCCTCAGGAACACTGACGAGGATGGAGTCGGCTTTGAGTACTGTATGTTCTATAATGAGGCTGAGAAGAGGACAGTCTGCATATTCCAACCTGGGCCCTATCTGGAGGGCCCCGAAGGGTGAGCGTCTTTTTCTTTTGCCAAGTCTGTCCTACCCAGAATCCTTTGTTTTCTCAGCCCCACGGTTCTGCTTCAACCACTTGTGTCCTCTTTTTTGCTTCTTTAGCCGCACACATGGCGGATGCATAGCCACCATCATAGATGCCACAATGGGGACCGGAACGGCGTTGAGCTGCGGACGGGCTATGACGGCCAACCTGAACATCAACTATCGGAAGTAAGTGCGCAGGGTGGGCCGTGTAGTGTGAGGACCTAACTGGTTGGATATACCGAGTGAAATAACTAATGGACCGTAGTCAAATTCACGGTGCTAATTCCAGCTGACCTCCCTCCAGGACACTTAGGACATCCTGAAATTAAAGGAAGCCTCCTCCTGGTAAAGTTGGAGGTCATTGTGGAAGGCTGGGGAAGATATAGTGGGGACCGGGCTAGAATGTTGATATTGGGGGACTCATGTTGGGGGGGGCAGGGAGGTGATAAATGATGGATTATTGATGATATGAAGATGTGACATCAGAGAGATGAGATGATATTCTCCCCGTGTCTGTAGTCCAATCCCATTGGGATCTACAGTCATTGTAGACAGCCGGGTGGAGAAGGTAGAGGGCCGGAAAATCTACTTAAGTTGCCAAATTCGCAGTCGTGATGATGCTGTGCTGCACACTGAGGCCACAGGTGAGGGCTGATGGGAAACCTTGATTACATTGCTCCTCTCCTTCCTTTTCTGTCCTTCCTATCATTCCTCCCCTGTCCCTCCTGTCATTCCTCCCCTGTCCCTCCTGTCATTCCTCCCCTGTCCCTCCTGTCATTCCTCCTCTGTCCCTCCTGTCATTCCTCCTCTGTCCCTCCTGTCATTCCTCCTTTGTCCCTCCTGTCATTCCTCCTCTGTCCCTCCTGTCTTTCCTCCTCTGTCCCTCCTGTCATTCCTCCCCTGTCCCTCCTGTCATTCCTCCCCTGTCCCTCCTGTCATTCCTCCCCTGTCCCTCCTGTCATTCCTCCCCTGTCCCTCCTGTCATTCCGCCCGTGTCCCTCCTGTCATTCCTCCCCTGTCCCTCCTGTCTTTCCTTCTCTGTCCCTCCTGTCATTCCTCCTCGTTCCCTCCTGTCATTCCTCCTCGTTCCCTCCTGTCTTTCCTCCTCTGTCCCTCCTGTCATTCCTCCTCTGTCCCTCCTGTCATTCCTCCTCTGTCCCTCCTGTCATTGCTCCTCTGTCCCTCCTGTCATTCCTACACCTCCCCTCCTGTCCCACCACTGATAATTCCCCTTTTGTTTCCCCTTTCAGGTTTGTTCATTAGGATAAACTCGGGAGAACCTCAAGCTAAACTATAACCTGTTTTACATGAAGGATTTTCTTTTTAGTAATATTTTCATATACCTCTGTACAGTTTTGTCAGCATTAGAACAATACCGCTCTGGAGAAACGTTCACTGGAAATGTAAATAAAGTTTCTTCCTTGGAATAGAATTGGTAGGTTGTGGCTTTAAAAGTTTGTTTTTGCTGATTTGTATTTCATGGGTGTGCCATGCTGGGGGAAGTAACAGGTTCACTTTAAAGCAGAACTCCTGAAGGAGGAATAACAAGCGTGATGGAGGAGGAATGACAGAACAGAGGATGGATAGCAAGAGGGACAGAGCAGGAATGGCAAGAGAACCAGGGGAGGTATGACAGGAGTGACAGGGGAGGAATGACAGTAGTGACAGGCGAGGAATGACAGGGGAGGAATGACAGGGGTGACAGAGGAGGAATGGCAAGAGGGACAGAGGAGGAATGACAGGAGGGACAGAGGAGGAATAGCAAGAGAACCAGGGGAGGAATGACAGTAGTGACAGGGGAGGAATGACAGTAGTGACAGGGGAGGAATGACAGGGGTGACAGAGGAGGAATGACAGGGGTGACAGAGGAGGAATGACAGGGGTGACTGAGGTGGAATGACAGGAGGGACTGAGGTGGAATGACAGGAATGATGGAGGAGGAATGTACAAGAAAGTCAGAGAACTAATAATAGGAGACACAGAGGGGGAATGACAGGATTGACACAGGAGGAATAACAAGAGGGACAGAGCAGGAATGGCAGGAGTGACAGGGGAGGAATGACAGGAGTGACAGGGGAGGAATGACAGGAGGGACAGAGGAGGAATGACAGGAGTGACAGGGGAGGAATGACAGGAGTGACAAGGGAGGAATGACAGGAGTGACAGGGTAGAGGTAATAGAGGAGGAGGAATGACTGGAGGCACAGAGGATGAATGTCAGGAGTGACAGAAGGGTAATGACAGGGGTGACAGAAGAGGAAGGAGAGGAGCTATAGTATGATGGATTTCCCATCAGTCCTCACCTGTGGCCTCGGTGTGCAGCACAGCATCATCATGATTGCGAATCTGGCAGCTGGTGTTGATTTTCCGGCCCTCTACCTTCTCCACTCAGATGTATACTCCAGCAGAATTGGACTACAGATACGGGAAGAACATCATCACATCTCGACGACATCACAGCTTCATACCATCAATAATACTTATATTATCCCTAAAGACGCTCACCCTGTGGGGCCCTCCGGGTAGGGCCCAGGTCGGAATATGCAAAGTATCCTCCACTCAATTCCATCCTTGGCTGCTTACACCATGGTGGGCGACTTGCGAATATCACAGAAACTTCTCCCACACAGTTTAGCAGCCGTCTGCAAAAAAAAGGAGGACTTTTTACAGCAGACAGTTGTCCGCTGACAGTGATCACCATCTCAGAGCCAGAGAGTGTGTGTGTGTGGCTCCTGGCACCTTCTAAAGTGACAGTGGTCTGGTGACAACCCCGGTGAATGTGCACACTGCAGTATGTGCTCCCGAGGCTGCGCAGGCTTGTGTAGTCACAACTGCTAAAACCAACCTCTACTGACCTACTCCATTCCCTCACCGAATTGGGAACACACAGATTGTCACCAAGGGGTTAATCTCATTACAGCACAAATCAATGAGTTCTCACAGGGAAGAGTATCCCAGTGATGCACCTTCTGTAACACAGGCTACCGATGGAGACTACAAGTGGTAAATCCAACACACATTACGCAGACATGGTCCGCCGTTGTCATCATTAGAAAACCCGCCCCAAAACATGCCAGGCAGCCATCGCTGGAGTGCATTTAGACAGGAAGTGGATGCAAAGATGCTTCAGGAGATCAGCAGCAGTGACATGTAACAGAGAATGAAAAATGACAGAGAGAAAGATTATTGTAGACAGAAAGG